ATGCATGGTTTTTCAGCAATGGCATTCACCGAAGCATACGGTCCGAGCCTACCAACATTTGCAGATTTAAAAAATCACCTGCGCGAGGAACCACTTCATCTGCAGGTGTTGGAGAAGTACTTGCGAAACACGGCTAATCTGGTATGTATAATTTTGATTTAAATTTGCTTATGATATTGCTTGTTGAACTCTCTATTAACCGTAATGACTGGTATGATTTTTTAGATTGAAGAACTGAGAGCAAAGTTGGACAGTAGAGAGCGTGAAGCTCCTAACGTTGAAGAAGTCGAGGTTCCGAGAGCAGACCTGCGACGCCGGCCAACTCCGCCATCATCTCGCGAACAAGTAGAAGCGTTCCATCAATTTCTGGAGGAACAACGCGATCTGGAACGGGAAGTAGGAAATCGAAACCAGTTCGCGCTCCACCTCCTTGAACAACAACAGCAACAACAAGCGGAGTTGCACCAATATTTAGAGGAGGAAGAACCAGTACCGGCACTGGTTGACACTCCGGTCAGCTGGGAGGAGGTGGAGGAGATGGAGGAGATGGCGGAGTTACGGCAGATACCGTACGATGAAAATGAAGCAGATTTTAACGGGACACCAGGAGCGTCGGCAGGAAGTTCAGAACGCGACGAAGTTGAAAGCATCCGCGAAATAGTACTGTAAGTTCCATTTCTAATTGTGCAGATGTGACAACAACCATTCATAGACACTTAATCTTTTAATTGTTTTGCAATGCAGTTATTTCTTAATTGTAATGTGCTTGCAAATGAGCATGTTGAATAAACAGTCAAGTTTATAAGAACTACTTTAAATGCACTGAAAGAATGATGTCTACTTATGAATATTTTTCAGACGTTCTCGGACAATACGAATTCCAATTGTGGAAGAACGACCAGTAGCCCCGGAAGCTTTCCACGCGCCGGAAGTGGAGGGATTACCGGCACAATATCAACAGCTGCTGGTGACACCACCAATTGACCCGTACATTGTGATTCGAAATGCTGACGGGTCAACCACAATTGGTAAATTTAATTGTATTTTATTAGTGGATGGGAAAGTTTTACATAGATATTTTGCATGAATCCAATACGAATCTAAGACATGAGTGATGATTGCATGGATAGATAATTTTTTATACTTTGGTCTTTCGCGAAATTGCAATTCGCGACAGTAAGTGCAAATGAATTAATTTGATTCCTTATTGGATCTACGTTGCTCAAATAATTGTCATCTGTTCTCTATGTATTTTTTAATCTTTTTAAAAATCCACAAAAATATTTACCAAGAAAATGTTCAAAAAATGCACCTCGACCGTTATCAGTTTTTGACGAATGCGTCAACTCTTTTTTCGAAATTTTTCCTGCAAATAAGCTGATTACTTTTAGTGGAATATATTTGAGAAAAGACGGCATGCAAACATTGAGAGTATGACAAACGAAAATTGAAAATAAAATGAAAATAATGAAAACGAAAATAATGAAAATTGCGAATAATAATAACTGTAGAGCTTTCAAAGTAACAAGCTAGGCAAATCACTGAGTAAAACAATGATGCAAAATGATCCCTTAAATTCCTCTACTAGAAACAAACAAAATGAACGAACATGTACGGACAGTCTTTGTAAATCCTTTGATCAGCGACCGTTCCACCAATTGAATTCTTTCTTACATGGGCGTTTCATCCAATTAAGCGAAGCAAATTATGTATGCGAAGTACAAAAATT